GCCTGCACCTCCGCGGGGTCGCGGAGAAGGCCGCTGCCCTCTGCCAGCGTGCACTGCAAGTCGTTTGGGGCCACGTCGCACAGCGGCGCAGCCCCAGCGCGTGACTGCGGCAGGGAGATCCTGCCAGGCTGGTAGGTTGCATCAAAACTGTCGGCCACGCCCGAGTCGACGTCAGCTGGCGGAGGTCCGCGCCCACCATAGAGCTTGGCCAAGGAGCGCACCGCAGAGGCCTGGGCGGCGGTCGCTCGGGCAATGCCGGGCGCACTGCCGCCGCCGCCAAGCTCGCTCAGCGCGCCCAGGCCCGCGCGTAGCCGAGCCTCCTCGCCCCGGCGCCGCCTGGCCTTCCGCTCGCCCGCTGCGGAGAGCCCGCCGCCCGCCGCGCCGAGGAGCAGCTCGTCGAGGGCCCGCCCGCCCGGGAAGGGCAGCAGGCCGCGAGGGCGGCCATCAGGGGGCTGAGGACCAAACGCCATGCCCGAGCCGACCACCGCTGGCTGCGGGCGCAACAGCGCCGGCGACGTCTCCCGGAGAGGCCCGCGGGCGAAATGTGCTTCAGGAGCGGTATCACTGGCCGCGGCCGCGCGCCCTCGCGCGCGCGACGCTGCCGCGGGCCTTGCCCTGCTGCTGCTGGGCCTGACTGCCTGCTGTGGCCCCATGCGCGAGCCGCTTCTCCTCCCCCCCCTTGACCTTTTCCGTGAGGATGGCGCTCTCTGGTGCGTAGAGCGCCTCCGAGAGCTGGTAGCGCCACGAGAGGACCACGAACGCCTCCAGCTCGGTGCAGTTGGGCTGATCGAAGACGCAGGCCCTCTCCAGCACCTCTGTGATGTAGGCGTGCTCCTCAACGCCAGCGTCGCCGTGCGAGACCTGCGGCAGGTTGCGCCCCCCGACCTGGCGCCGTGTGGGAGTCCAGCCTGCGTCGCGGATGCCGTGGAGGATCCACTTGCACGTCCGAGGGCCCGCGACAGCCCAGCCAGCCTGCACGGTCTCCGAGAGGCAGACCACCGCGCCGCCGCACCCACCGAAGCGGGGGTTGCTCCTGTCGAAGCGCACGGGAGGGGTGCCCAGGTCGCCCTCGCCAGCTCCAGCTGAGAGAGACCCCGCCATGACCACGAAGAGGGCCCACACGTTGGGCACCGTGAGCGCACCGCGATCCCCTGAGGCCAGCGACTGGCAGACCGCGAGGTCGTCCGCCTGGCCGTGGGTGAAGCCGTGGCAGGACTCGGTGGCCACCCAGGCCTGACCAGCGAGAGCCTGTGGGAGGGTTGCCGCGGCGCGGCCTGGCGCGATGGGGGCGGGCGCCGCGCCAAGGCCAGCGCCGCCACAAGGAGGATGCACATGCTGCGCCACGAGGACCTGGCCAACGGCGGCCTCGATGTCGTGGGAACCCTCGATGTCGCGGACGTGGTCCTCACGGGCCTCGAGCAGCTCGCGCTTCTCCTGGGTCGTGAGGTAGGCGAACCGGAAGACCTCGACGTTCGCCGCGCCCGCCTGGAGGCAGCCCAGCGGGCCCACGCGAGGAGACCCGTCGCTCTCCATGAGGTCCTCATCGTGGTCGGAGCCGCTAGGCGTCGCCCCCACCCAGGGTGATGGCCCCGAGCGGACGCCCCGCAGCTGCCCGTGCCACAGTGAGTACGCCTCGAGCCGCACCAGGACCAGACCCCACCACTGGAGTTGTGAAAACCACTCTGGCCGCGCTGCGCTTGGGCGCCAGCCATCCCGCATGTCGAGAGCAGATCACGAGGACCGAACCGAAGACGACGCCCGCGAAGAAGAGCCCCACGCCAATGAGGGCCAAAGTGGCCACCGGCGGGGGCGGCAGGGCGCGGCACACCTGCCCGTGGAGCTGCTCTGGGCCACAGCGGTCCAGTTGCCGCTGCAGCAACTGGAGGAGGCCCTGGTCCGGGGCGGCGGCCACCTCGCAGTGGCAGTCACAGCGCCCGCCCGCGGCCAGCCCGCCTATAGCGCCGGCGACGACCGAACTGGTGACGGAAGAGGTGCCCTGAAGCAAGCTGGTCAGCCAGGCCATACACTCTGGGCCAGGCCTGGACCAGAAAAAGGGCTATTGAGATGGGAGTACACGGAGAATCAGAAACGAAAAACGTAGGCAACGGAATAAAGATTTGCGCCGCGAGGTCTGTTCAGAGCAACGGCGAAGCGATCCTCGCGGAAAGGAGCTCGTCGGCCGCGTCGCTGCTCAGGGGGGCCGGCGGCCGCCCAATCGAGGGTTCGCGAAACAGGCGGTTGAGAAATGAAAAGTGCCCGGGGCCAACAATCAAGGCGAAGCCGATGCGGTCCAAATGCGACAAAAGGTCCTCGTCATCGATGCGTTCGGCTGCCAAGTGGCCCATGGCGTGGGAGACACGCACCGGTCGGCGCCGCGCACCTGAGCTCGCCAAGTCTCCAAATTGAAAACCCCTCGGCGGACTTCTTCAGAGCACGCCACGCGCCCGCTGCAGCGCGCGCTGCCCTGTCGCTCATCGGCTCCCCGCTCGGCTTGAAAACGCACTGTTCCGTCTCCGTCTCAAGGGCGACCTTACCCTGGCCCCATCTGCCGACGTAGATGGAGAACCAATTCCACGGCGCCCTGGTGCCGGCAGGAGCCGGGCGCGGGTCCCGTCCGCAGCAGGTCCCGAGGGATGCTAGCCCCATGGTATGCGGAAGCTGCCTGGTTATCAGGTTTGCATGCGCCTCCTGGGTAAAGTCAAACGCGCTGACCCAACCCATGGGGCACGTCCGCATGCGCGGCCGGGCCCGCGCGCTATCGGGAAACCCGAAGGCGGGCCCAGGGGTGGCCTCCTCGATGACGAAAGAGCCACGCCACGCCCGAGGCACTCGATAGAGGTGGAAGCAGCCGCTCTGGTCTTCGGAGTAGTGCACCTGGAACTCGTCGGGAAGCAGGTCCAGCAACGGGCGCGAACCTGGATGTCCCATGAGCTTGGACGCGCCGCCGTAGCGCCGCTGAAGGGCGCCCGTGGGGACCGCGTTCAAGATGGGGCGCATGGCGCGGCGCCGTTGGCGCCCGACATCGTCCCATGCCTCATGCGCTCCGAAAAGGCCGTTCCGCGCAGGGCGGCCGCGGAACTTTCTCGCGGGATCTCCGCCCCCCTGATGCCCAGCTCGTGCAACGACTCCACGATCTGGTAGTGCTCGCCCTCGGACGCCGCCAGCACGCTGGCCTTCGGCAGTGGCCCCATGACTCGCCCTCAGGGGGCCTCAGAATGCTGGTGTCCAGGATGGCTGCGCGAGCAGGCCCGTCGAGGAAGCCCGCCAATTCCACCTGCGAAGCGACCTGCGCAACAGGAGGGGCAGGAAGGGCGCCGGCATGTGTGTGCGGCAATGCGTGGACGAACTGTTCGCCCCAATGCTGCTCGGATGCCCCGCGCGACGCCACCTCGGAAGGGATGAGGTTCACGTGGTCCCCCTTGTTGGCCCAGATGGTTGCAAACCGCCTGAAGCGCAAGAGGGCCTGTTGCTGCGCCGCGGGTTCGGCGGTGAACTTACGGGGCCTCGCAAGAAGCCGCGGTCAACCCAAAAAGCCGTAGTTCGTGACGAGGGTTGCAAGTTCCACCCACGCCGCGGCGCACCGCTGGGAGGCAACCAGGGGTCGTGCTGCCAGACCGGGGCGCCTGCAAATCCTCCAACGCCGTTCGGAAGACCGCGGAACGCTCTGGCCGAGCGACTGGCGGCAGCTCCAGGGCCAACCAAATCTTGCCACGCGCCGCATGGCCACAACTGGCTCAGCTCCCCCAGAGCGCGGAGGTGGTGCCCTATGAGGACGATGCCCCGCCGGAAAGCTGCTCCGCCAGATGCTTCTGGGTGCACCCCGAAGATGACCGTCACGAGGTCAACCCGCACCACGTTGGGCAGCGGAACCCCGCCCAGCAGGTCCTCCATGGCGGACCCGCGCAGGTGCCCCCCCATGCGTCGCAAGGCCTGGTGCGAGAGCACGCCCGGGAAGCGCGCCGCGATGGTGCGCGTCGTCGGACGACCGCGGTCGCCGCTCTGGCGACCGTCCGCCACCGCGTTCCTGGTGCCCCAGAATACTGCGTCCGCGTCCCCACCGAGGATGCGCGCGACGAGCTCCGTGCGGAGGTGCTCGGAAAGTGCGGCGGCAAGTGCCTCTGGCCCGGCAGCCTGGCCCGCAGCCGCGCCTCGATGGCGATCCCGAGCCTCCTGCAAACCGCCGTCGCAAGTCCTCGGCATGGGGCGCCCCTGCCGCCGCTCCCAATGCCAGAAGCAGCGGGTTGGTGGGGGCGCCTCCCCCTCCTGGCGCGCCGCCGGCAACTGCCAGCTTGCCCTCGGCAACCCCGGGCGCAGCAGGCGGCGCTCGCTTGGCGCCTTGGGGGACCACCCCCAGGGCCGCTCGCCTCGCCTGCGGGCCCGGGGACGCCAAGGACACCAGCGAGGTCTCGAAGCTCGTCCGCGAGCCCTCGATCGCCAGCCCCGGCTCTACCCGCATGCGGGGTGGCGCGCGGCCTCCCAGCGGGCTACTGGCGAACGACCGCTGCCCGCGAAACCACTCGCGGAGCGGCCGCGGGCCGCCGCCGAACATCGCGGCCCTTCGGCGGCATGTCCCAAATCCTGGAAAAGGGTACCAAAATGCGCGTGCATCCCTTTCATGCCAAGATGCAAGAGCCAATCACGCTCCGCACTCGCACCGGGGGCGTTTGCATATTTAAGCTGGGCTTTCATCGCATTGGTTTGATCCGCCACCACCCGAGAGCGCGCTTCCCACTGAGAAGGCTGGCAGGCAGCGTAGCATCATGTGAACGCAGGGTGTGGGACAGAAGACGAGGAGCGGGGGCGCGTCGGGGGGAGGAGGAGAGAGAGGGGGGAATGAAGAGAGAGGGGGAGGGGCCATGAAGGGCGCGGGAAGGGAAAGGGGAACGAAGGAGAGGAAACGGAGGGAGAGAGGAGGGCGGACGGGGGCGTGTGGCAGGAGGGGGGAGGAGGGCAGGGCAGCGGCGGCAGGCCAGCTCGCCCCTGGCTGGCCAATGCGGCTCCTTGTCCCTGTCGCGGTCACGGTCTTTTTCCTTGTCTTTGCCCTTCTCCTTGTCCTTCTTGCGCGAGCGCGAGCGGCTATCCGATTCCTTGTCCTTATCCTTGCCCTTGTCTTTCTTCTTCTTACGCGAGCGCGATCGGCTGCGCCTGGTCAGAGCTGCGAGCGGCCTGCAAGGCCTCAGCAACTCTGCCCCCCAAATCCGAGATGTGGGCCCACAGGCTGAACCAAATCGCCGATGAGCCACCCAAAAACCACTGGACAAGGCAGAAGGGGCAGAAACACTGTCTTACTGACCAGCCAAACGGCGCATGTGACCCGGAAGCGTCGGGCAACGCGATCCCGATAAATACTCGTTCGATATCCATGAGAGAGCCCCCGGTACTGTTTATGTGCAAGTTCCCACGTGTTTGGATAGGGGGGCGGCAAAGGAGCAAGAGCAGAAGAGAGGAGGTCACAAATCCGCCGATCTGGTGTATGAGTCTAAGAGAACGTCAGCCTGAGCTCGCTGTAGCTTCGCTCTGGGAGGGGGGGTCCGTTTTCGGGTGAGGGGGCTTGGTTTCGCTGTGTAGGGGGAGGGGGGGCTGTTCCGTTTTCGACCGGGAAGACTCGATACGCTTTGGAAGGGAGGGGGGGGGAGGGGTTGTTCCGCTTTCGGGGGGCAGGGGCTCGTTTCGCTCTGAAAGGGCGGGGGGGGAGGGGTTGTTCCGTCTTCGGGGCGGGGGGAGTTTGGTTTCGCTGTGGAGATGGAGAGGGGCTTGTTCCGTTTTAGACGGAGAGAAAGCTCTTTTCGCTTTGGGGCGCAGGGAGTTTTGTTGTTCCGTTTTCGGGCATTTTTTGGAGGCCGCGCAACAATGGTAATGGAGGGTTAACAACCGATGACATTCACCAGACCACGGTCGCCAATCGCAGAAAATATGTTCTGCGAGCGTGGCCGAAACTCGGTACGGAAATTCGGGCGGTTGTTCGCATGAGCGAGACGAGGAAAAGAGGAAGAGGAAGGAACGAAAAGTGGAGGACGAAGAACGATCATTGACAGTGTCGCCGCCAACACTTCGACCGTCCCATGCGCCGACTGCTTTAAACACCGGCCCCTTCCCGACGTAAATACAGAATTGGCCATAATTAGAAGGGGGCGCAGCAGGAGGGAGGAGGAGCAGAGAGAGGCGCACGACCCCAATCTGTGCAGCCAGCGGATCAGTTGCGTGCCAACCGAAGGTTACAATCAAGAGGCGATATATACATATATATATAGAGAGAGAGAGAGAGAGAGAGAGAGAGAGAGAGAGAGAGAGAGAGAGAGAGCGAGAGAGAGAGAGAGAGAGAGCGAGAGAGAGAGAGAGAGAGCGAGAGAGAGCGAGAAAGAGGGGGGAAGAACAACAAATTTAAGGGTGAAAGGAAGGGTCTGCAACAGGGGGTCTTCAATGGGGGCTGAATGGCGCATGTATGCTCAATGTATCGCTCACGTATATGATCGGGTACGATTGGCATCCAGCGTTGGCGGCCATGGAGGGCCAATCGTTCGTGCCCGCGCGGGCAAACGCGCCGTCCACCCATTATCGTTCATGCGTGCAGGCGTTCTTGCATATTGCGCGTGGGGCGGCGAAGTAGAGCGCAAGTGTATCTAGACTGTGCGATTGATGATCGCGTATGTTCCCAAACGATGACTTGTCGACCCCCAAGACAGATTTGGAATGGGACCCGCGATTCTCCCAAAATGTGAATTCACATGTTCCTTCTTCCCAAAATTTGAATTCACATTCTGGCCCCTTTTCCATCCAGTTTCTTATACAAAATTCCAACATGTGAATTCACATTGTCCTTTTGTCCAAAATGTGAATTCCGATTTTCCTTTTTCCCAAAAAGTGAATTCACATTTTTCTTTTTCCCCCACAATGTGACTTCGCATTTTGCCCTGGCCTTCAAGATCCCCTAAAATGAGGCGCAGCGCTCCGCATGTCAGATTGGCTGGGTAGGTTTTGACACTCACCTCACCGCTTTTGTCTATTCCAACCTTTTTTGGGGGCCCTCAGCGCACGCTGCCTTCGTCGCCTTTCGCGAGCCCCCGCCCCCTTGCCTCGTTTACCCTCAAATCTCGCGCATGGGTGCAGGCGGGGAGCTTCAATTGGCTCCCCCGCCGAACACAGCAATCGAGGATGCATCGCGCATGCATGGCCCATACAAACACCATTGCCGGGACCCTGCGCCCGACCCCCGCTTTCACCCTCCAAACAAAACATAACAAAACCGGCCGCGGCCTGTTCACAGCACGAGGCTCCGCAAGTCGGAAAACCAACTACAGTACGGGGCGTAGTAGTGCAAGGAGTGCAATACGCACCTACCCCAGTCATTGAGGTTCTTGGTGTGGTTATATGTAGCGCAGGGCCCCATTGCCCCGCAGACGTGCAAACCCCGAGCAGAAGCTAGCACGCGCGGGCTGATACGCGGAAGCCAAAGGAAACGAAAATTATGAACACTCAAGCATCCATCAGGGGGCGACAGAGAAAGAGAGGGAGAGAAAGTAGTCTTTCCTCTGAGAATCGGGATAAGATGACAAAGGGATTAAGGTCTCGAGTTCACTCTGCTCAGTGGTAGAGGGTACGCGATGAAACATCGATAAGACAAGTAACGGGTAAGCAAATGTACTCTATCAGGAATAGTAAGTGAGGAGGCCGACCGGCCGACGACACGAGCGCGACGAGGGGGCGACCCCTCGGCGCGCGCGTGCGAGCCAGCACGCCCCTTTTATCTCCTGTACGCTCACGCGTAGCTTGAGTACAACACATCTGCAGATAGTCACACAGTGCGCAGCAAAGCAAGTGATGTGACAAGCAGCATGAATACGAGGCGGAGCACTCCCCCCGCGGCGGGCCTCGTAGAGCCCATCCGGCCACAGCGCGCCTGGCCTATGCATGTACAACCACCGGAGCGAACCCCAAAAACTTTTACCGCTCAACGGTGGGCACCAGGGGGCTAAGGGCCGAAGAGGCCCGACGACTCCAACCATTAGATAAATAAGCTCTCTCCGCCGATTCGGCTTCGCCGATCGGCAGAGCTGCTTTACTCGTCCGACGCGCCTTCGTCGCGCGGCGAGAACTCTCTTGCATGCGCCTGCAGCGACTAAGTCACGCGGGCCGGACTCAATCCAGGTCCTCGAACGGGTTGTTGTCCCCCGTCGGTGGCGTCGGAGGCCTCGGGCTCGGCGGCGCCGAGCCTCCAGTCTGTCCCTCGCCGCCGCGAGGCGAGCGGGACCTTCCTTTGCCACGGCCAGCCTAGCACGCTGTCCTGTAATACTTGTCTTTGTTCTTGGTCGCCCCCCCCCCCCCCTTCAGCGGGAAGCGATACTCATGCTCAGCCAGAGACAGGACGCGCCGCAGCTGCGACCACCAGACGTCGTTGGACAGCCACCATATCCGATCCCTATGGACGTAGTATCCGACCTGCACGTCGTTTGCGTAGCGCGGGTAGGAGACGAGCGGGTCGTGGCCAGCAGCGCCGCGGCCGACATCCATGGCTCCATCGCGCGCGCGCTGGGGCCTCGACCAATCCCGTGTGTCAGAGTACCACGAGTATTCCTCTCTTGCCGACACGGCTGCGCCGGTGGCAGAGCATGGGGATTCGGTAACTTCGTCGCCAGTCCGAGCGTCTGAGACGTCGGGTCTGCGCGGCGGAGATGGTGGTAGCGGTCTCGCTTTCGCCGCATCCTGTGGTCGTCTCGGCCCCACCGAACCAGCTGGGCTGTCGTGGGACTCATTGGCACCCCCGCTCTCACGAACATTCTGCTCTCGATCGCGAATGAACTTCAGCAAATTCCTACCAGCTGTAGCTACTGGAATGCCAAACTTACCGCATGCAATACGGAACGGGCCTGCGTCCTTATCTTGGAGCTCCGTGTTGGCATCTACGTACCTGTTATGAAACCAATGAATGGCCTCCTGTAGCAGCGAGCCCTGGCGACGAATGTCGGTTCGTACCTGTCTACCTAAATTGCGGGCCCACTCTTCTATGAGGTCGTCCGTCTGAACCGCAGAGCGGATGCGACAGTCGAGGGCGTGTGCATCCCTCCGTCGCTTATAATTAGCATCATCTGTGCTCCCTCCCGCGGTGCGAATTGTTCGCCCCGGATAATCAACAACATGTCCATCTGAAATAAACGAGCTCATGATCTCGCGAACGATGGCAACCACTCTAATAATGCGAAGACCAAGTTGCATTTGTTGTACAGGGGCCATCCAGTTCCCTTCAACTATGTTCTTCACGATCGGTGGGACTTCGTGTTCTGTTTCCCCTGACAGTCGCAACCTATTGGGATCATTGGTATTTGAGCGAACACTTGTGTATTCAATGACATATTGTGCCGTTATTACTCTAGCCTCACTCCCATGCAAAGATCTGTTTATTGAACTGTCCTCGCAATGCTTATATGAATATCCGTCGGGCTGATCAAGGTTGATCGTCCCTTCAGTTATCAGCGTTGCCTTAGGCCCGCTGAGGGCTGTGAAGTCAAGCGTGATTTGCAAGTCTGCGTCTGCCGTCGCGGCTTCGCCGGAGGCAGGTTGCAGCATCCGTGCTATGAGACGATGATCGCGACACTGATTTGTTCGCCTAGTGATAGAGCGAGAGTCACGACTCGGTCTCGCCTCCAAGCTGTTTTTCCGGGCAACCGGTAGACGTCCGCGAGGGCGTTGCCCTGCGGCGTCTGCGGCATCGTCCTGCGGCACAGGCATCCACGGTGTTCCCATGGCTACCGCATTGGCTATCGTTTGAAGTGTCGGGACGGAAGTGTTTTGCCTGGTCATCGTGAGCTGCCATCTCTCCCAACCGTTTATCGGTTCGTGGAGGTCGTCTCGCGGATCTGGCCAGTCGAAGGCTGCCAGAGCTGGGCAAGACATTGGGCGCGCATACTGGTCAATATCTGTCTTCCAAAGCATGGCCCACCATACCTGAATTGGAGGAACTTGGGTCCTCGCTCTCGAAGCCGAGAATGCGAGCCATTCAATGAACCTCCGTTTCAAGGGCTCCAAATACTGGAAGAAAGGGCCATGTCGCGCCGGCGGCTGAGCCGCGGCGTTCTCTGGAACCCAGGCAGGGAAGTTGCCTGCCTGGCTATTCCCAAAGATTTGACCAGCAGCGGCCATCCGCGTGAATG